TTGTAATTGTGTTCATATAGTTCCTGGGTTTGTCTTGGCAGGTACACTCCCAAATATTTTATATTGTCTACAGTTACTTTAAATGGGATTTCTCTTACTATCTTTTGCAGCTGGGCTTTTTTTTTTAACAAAATATAGAAATATGCTGATAATTTACGTGGGTTTATTTTATATCCTGCAGCTTTGTCATTTCCCATTTTCAAAAACTTACATGGCTATCAGTTGCTTGCAAGGTAAAGTCCAAATTCCCTAGCTTACAATTTAGGGCCTTCCAAGTCGGCTCACGTGTGTCTTGTCTATCCTAATCCACAAGCACCACCTCACCTACCAGTATAAATCATGTCTTCTGTCCAAATGGGGCTACTCACTACATTCTGAAGGGGGCTTGTGCTCATATTTCTTGCTATAGTTCTTTGCTTTCAGAAGAGAGTTAACAAATTGACTTCCCTGCTTTTCTGCCTTGCTGCCAGAACACTGTCTTGAGTATTTTAAAGTATTTTATGTAACTGCTAATCACTGCATGAAAATAAAGATGTTAAAAATAAACAAAGGGTCAAAAATTCTGGAAAACTAACTGCTTATCCTGGTCTTCCATAGCAGTGTACATGGACCTAGGTCTTATTTATTTTTAAGTTTACTTTCGCTAACTGCTTTATTCCTGATCTTGTGCCCAGAGTTAGCTAGTCTAGTGGCAAGTTAGTGCTGAAACAAGTATTAGGGTTTTTAGAACAGGTTAACTTAATTTGTATTGTTAGGACTAGTTACCCTGTTATTTTAAGATGTACTTAAGATTGTAACACACACACACACACACACACACACACAAAGGGGAAAAAAGAGAAAGACTGTCTTGATTTAAAAAAAACAAATTAATATGTGAGTAAGTTATACAGTGCCTTTTGTTTAAAGTTACCATTGTTTATTTATTTGACTTTGTTAAATAGCGAAGTATCGGATTCTCTTTTATTTTATAATTGTGGTTATCTGATCTGGAGTGTAAACTCCCATGTCTTAAATTGTTCTTGATGATGCTAGTAAGTAGGTCTGGGAATAAATTCTAAGGTTATATTTTTTTAAAAAATAGACAGGATTCTGGGAAGATAGTGGAGTAAGTCAGAAAATTCCAAACTCTCAAGATTTTTCCCTAACAAAAAATGTAAGATAGCACCTCAGGACATAGAGTAGTAAAAGTAAATAAGAGTAGGAGCATAACAGGGTCCTCCTGGGACAATAGGACACAATCTGAAGAAAAATCCCAGGACAAGGTTTGGTCCCTGTGTAGAATAAACACCTCCAGGTTAGGTCCTAGGTCCACTTAAACAAGCTGTAAGTCCTGCAGTTAGCTGGGTTGGGAGGCTGCCTTGACCCCCTAGCCACAGGAACTTTTATCCCTGGAATAATGAAGGTACTTGGACGTCTGAGCCTGGGAATATCAAGGGAACCTCTACTAACAAGGAAGGCCTGACACAGCTGTTCTGTGGAGATGTGTTGGGGTTGGGGGGAGACACTTGTTCAGTAAGTACAGAAGCAATGCATGGGGAGGAGAACTGAGGCCAGAGGTACTATCCTCCCATACCCCAGGACTATAGGTGATTATAAACATTAAGCTTCTACTACAAAAAAAAAAAAAGCAGGCAAAGAAGAAAAAATTCAACCATAGAGAGCTACTATGGGAATAGAGAAGACCAAGGTTCATCTTCAGAAGTGGATATTGAAGCAAAAAAATAAAAACCCTCTTCTACTCCAAAGAGTAAAGTCAAATGGTCACCTGCCCAAAAAGAATTCATAGAAAAACTTTTAAAAAAGAGTTTAAAAATTGAGTGGGAGAGATTGAGGAAAAACTTTAAAAAAAAAAAAGAACAGTCCAAAAAACCCAAGAAGATTATGAAAAGAAAGTCAACCAATTCGAAAAGGGGATCCAGAATCTTAAGGGAAAAATGACTCCTTGTTGAGCAAGGGAAAACAAGTGAAGTTATAAAAGATCAAGAAATAAAACAAAATATAAAGAATGAAAAAATAGAAGAGAAAATGAAACATCTTATAAGAAAAACAGCTGATCTGGAGAACAGATCAAAGAGAGAAAACATAAGAATAATTGAACTTCCTGAAAGCTATGATAAAATAAAAAAAAGAATCTTGATCCAATAATATAAGAAAAATTAAAGAAAATTGTCCTCAAGCATTAGAACAAGAAGGGAAGGTAGAAATAGGAAAAATCCACCAATCACCACCTGAAAGAGATCCCAAGAGGAAAACCCACAGGAATATCATAGTCAAATTCTAAAACCCTCAGCTCAAGAATAAATTATTATAAGCAACAAGAAAAAAAAACCCAATTTAAATATAGCAGTACCATAATTAGAATCACACAAGACCTAGCAATGGCAATACTAGAAGACCACAGGTCTTGGAACACTATATATCAAAGAGCAAAAGAAGTGGGGTTCTAGCTGAAAATATCATACCCAGCAAAACTAAGCATAATCCTGAATGAAAAAAAAAAGGACTTTTAATGAACTGTCAGACTTTTAGGACTTTGTTTAAAAAAAAAAACCTGAATCTAATAGAAGATATTTGATATAAAAGAGCCAAGAGAAATATAAGGTACATACCAAAGACCAACTACAAGGGACTCAGTAATGACAGACTGTTCATTTTTTATGTATGTAAAATGTATGTCTAAGATTGCTATTAGTAATTGTGTAATTTTTTTTAAAGTTACCATTGTTTATTTATTTGACTTTGTTAAATAGCAAAGTATCAGATTCTCTTTTATTTTATAATTGTGGTTATATGATCTGAAGTGTGAACTCCCAGTGTCTTAAATTGTTCTTGATGATGCTAGCAAGTAGGTCTGGGAATAAATTCTAAGGTTATATTTTTTAAAAAAATAAACAGAGAGGATTCTGGGAAGATAGTGGAGTAAGTCAGAAAATTCCAAACTCTCAAGATTTTCCCCTGACAAAAGATATAAAATAGCACCTCAGGGCATAAGAAAGATTGGGGTAGACCTGAGTATAATATGATTTTAAAAAGTAAAATCATTCACGAACAGCTAAAAAGAGTAATTATTGTATACAAATGAGGTGCAAGCAACACAGAGGAATTAGATGAAGCAGGAGGGCTCTTAGTTCTGGAAACCTGTTTTCATAGGGAATAGGTTCAAGAGAGAACAATACATATATATCCAGAAGAGTATAAAAGTCTTCTAAATTCAGAAAGAAAACATTAAGGGGATAGGAAGGGGGGAGAGGATAAGGGAGTGATCTCTAGAGGGGAGAGTGAGGGAATAGGTTAAAGGGACGGTATAGAAGGGTGTTTAGATTTATGGGAATGGGAGGGTAAGGCAGGGATCGTCGGAGGGAGGGTAGGTTAAGCTATAGGAGAGAAGGTAGCAGTTAGAAGTAAAGTTGAAGAGTCAAGAGGGATAGGAAATAAGAGGTACAAGCAAAAACAAAGATCAGGAGTAGAATTTGTTAGGGGAAGTATATGTCTATATATGTATATGTATATGTATATATCTATAGCTGTATATAAATATATCCATGCTTAATTGTAGCCTTCTGTAGGGTGGAAGAGTAAGGAGGAAAAAAGAACAAAGTAAAAAGTATACAACAGAGAACAAAAGAGAATTTACGAGAAAGCAAAGATAGCTCTCAACACAAAGTGTAGTATTTATTATATAGGCTTTCTTGAAATGAAAACTTATTAGTATATATTTTAAATCCTCTCTTATGTTCTGCTGTGCACATTACACGCTTTTTTCCTTTTCTTATTTTGTATTTAACTTAAGTCTAAAATAAAAAAACTAAACAGTACATGTGTAGTGCTTTTGGTATGGAAAAAGATACAAGAGAAATGTAAGACATGTCTTCTCATTGCTTACAGTCTTATTTCAAAGAGAAGACACTTAGAAAACAATTAAGTTCAAAGTAGTAGTAGGTGATAAAGTGATAAAAACAGTGCCTGTAACAAAAAAATTCTCAATTTCAGAAAAGAGGAATTAGCAGAAGCAATAGAACAAAGAAAGCCTAGAAGAAAGAAAGGTAGAACCAGAACTAGACCTTGATGGATAGGTAGGAGATGATGAAGGTACGGTGGGTGGAAAGAGCATAGGTAGGGGAGGAATAAGTGGTATAGCTTGGTTTCCATTCTAATTTAAAACTAATAACCTAAATCACTTTAAACAATTCAACACATAAGTGCTTACTATATGCCAGCTCAGTATTTCATGATGGGAATACCAAGCCAAAAATCAAATATTCCCTTTCCTCACCAGAATTACATTCTGCTGTGTAAGTTTACTTCCTTGGGGGCCTCTGTTTCCCCCTCTGTATGATAGTGTAAGCTCAACATTTTTAGGAATCTAGGAAAGTATTCTGCTTCTAGAATGCGTAATTATCTTATTTCTCAAGTGATTTGATCTTTGTTAATTTTTCTTTAGCTATAGTTTCTTTGACCTGTGTTAATTTTTCAAATATTATGCATATTAATTTTTTATTTTGGGGATTTGGGAGTCTTTGTATTTTTAAAAGGATGGTTCCCCCTCCCTCCTGCCCCGATTAACTACAGGGATTCCTGTGCTTTTAATGTATTCTAAAATCCTTATAAGGATGCATAAGGAATTGTTTTGAAGTGACAAATGTCCAATATATTATTTCCTCACATGTTAAAGCATTTTATCTTTATATCTCTTTTCCATGGGAGATATTGTTAAGATGTTTCTTTAGGGTTTTTGGTAAAAATATTTTCATAGCTATAGAAGAGAGAAAAGTACAAGAGCACAAGGTTAATACTTGGGCTAGCATTAGGGATTAATGGAATGCGGAATATCATTTAAAAGAAAGTCATAATTTAACCAAAGTCTTGATGTAGTGTGCAATGCCTTCTAGAAAAAGATTTTTAAAAAATGTCATGAATTGAGTAGATTATCATCCATTAAAAGTGTTCATACAAAATTTTTGAAACTAGCTAATAATATCTATCTACTTGATGTTCAGAATATGCTTGAATTGCTGGAAGAAATGCCCAATGGAGTTCCACCTGAAAAAGTAAAAAGCTATATCTACCAGCTAATCAAGGCAATTCACTGGTGCCATAAGAATGATATTGTTCATCGAGGTGAGTGTATAACTTTCTAAATTTAACATATCTCTAGAACTAATTGAAGAGAAGAAATTCCAAAAAGATGTTAACAACATAATGTTTGAGTTTCTCTTTTCTTAAAAGTATTGTGGCAGTGGTACACAAACATTTTCATTTTCACTAATAATGTGAGAAATTTTTGTTTTTCAAATCAGCTTGTGCTTCGCTAGATGTTTGTGATGCAGAAAGTGATTTGATGTGGTGACATACATGCTTTAATGCCTGAATGATTAGATCCTTTAACAGCTGTGAGAACTCTTAGTGGTGGGGAGGACCCCACATACAAAGGTTTTTAAAGCTAGCCCTGAATAAAGGAACAAAGAGCTCTTGGGAATAGCACAAAGGCCGGGTACCAACCCATATTCATACTCTGTAGGTGCTTTTCGTTAATCGTCTATCCAGTTCTCAGCACTTATACCCGACAGTACTAGTAATGACAATAGCTCAAGATACACAATTTTGTGTGTGGCCATTATGAGAATTTATTTTACTTGACTATGCATATTTGGTCCAAGATCTTTTTATTTTTTTTTCCCCAAGGGGGAAAGGGGAGGCAGAAAAAAATGCTTGGCAATTAAAAAAAATTTGAATATAACTATATCATAGAAACACAGAAGAGATTATCTCTGGATTGGTTCTTACTCCTAGTGCTGAATGTTTTCATGTATTAATGCATAGCAAAGAATAAGAGAAAAGCAAACATAAAAAGTGGCTGGCATTTATATCATGCCAAGGTTTGCAAAACATTCATTATGTCATTTAAGCCATACAATGAGTCTGTGAGATAGGTATTAGGTGTATTTATGTATCCATTTTTTCAGTCCCCTTTCTGGACTAACATCCTCTAACTTGACATCTCTCTTCCCCCTTCCTCTCCTACTCTCAGCCTTGCACTAAGGATTTGGAATCTGACATTGAATAATTATACTGAGGTCATTAAAAGTAAAAGATTGTCCGGTTTGCTCATGGGCCATTAGTGTCAAGAAAAAGAGTAGTGAACCTTCAGACATCGTGTTTTTCTTGTCATTTACTATTGTAAGGGATGCTTACTGACAGTGAAAGGAAATTACTTGTCCTGGTCTGCCTTCTTTCAATCCCCTTATCTCCTCTCACTCTCCAGTGATAGAGCTGGACATTGATTGAAGCAACAATGAATTAGGATTGCATAATTAGCTGAGGACACAAATATTTTTTTTCAATAAAGTCAAAAACCATTTATTATATGCTTCCTGCGTGCCGGGCACTATTCTAAGCACTGGATCAAATGAGATAATATATTTAAAGTGCTTTGCAAACCTTAAAGTGCTGTATAAATGTTAGCTGTTAATATTTATTGGGAGTTAAAAAGTAAAACCAGGGAAATAATTAAAAGGTGTAGAGGACATGAAGAATATTGACCATGGTTGTTGTGAAATAAGGAGATATAGTGTGTTGTACACTTACATGTTTTTTTCTGTCTTCCACATCACATTTGTTCTCTTCTGTGAAAAACTGGCAAGATCATTGGAGCTTTCAGTGACTGTTGTGATGATTAATTGCTGATAACATCTTGTCCTTTTGCATTGGTTTTGAGAATCTTGATAAACATCTGATTTAATCTCATTATGCAGAGTGTGGAAGATATGAAAGCTGATAGGTCAGTTACATGGTGGATGTGAATGGAAACCAGCAATCACAACCCTTAGGATGCTGTGCCTCATGCACATTTTCACACCTCTAGCTTGTGCTCTAGCTAATATTTTCTTTAATATTTTAATGAACATTGTAGTCTGATTAAAGGAAAGCAAAAGCAGTGTATCTCTCAAGGGGGGATATTTAAACAATTTTAATAGCCTCTTCCTCTATCTTCCTAGATTGTATTCTTTAACATTTAGGGTAAAAATCAGAGATGTTTTCTTCATTCATTTAGTATGACTTAAAGCATTATAGTTTATAATCAAGAACATGCCAACTTGCTAAATGCTTTGTATGTAAATTACAGCTTCAAGAAGAACTGTTAACAGTATTACTGTTATTATTAATACTGAAATTATTAACTTCTATTTAGTGAATTTCTATTTAGCCTTGCTCTTTCATGGTTTTTTTACGCTTTATTGAGTTTCTCATTCTCTGTCTTCTATCTTTAGAAATATGTAGTAATTTAGAAATATGTATGTTAAGTCATTTTATAAAATTTATTTTTCTCTAAGCACTTGTTATTTTCCGTTAGGCTTTTGCTATGCTCTGTTTTAGGATTAATATAACACCCTCAAGAGTGAAAGGGAGGAGGAGTTGGGCAGTAACCAACAAAAGTATTCTGAACTTGTAGTTTGCCTATTTGTTGAACAATAATTAATTGAAATTTTAGCGTGTTTTACATGAAACTTGTTTCCTTGATTTTTACTGCCATGGCTTGTTATTCAAATTATTTGACTTTCTAAAAAATTTAGCAGTTAAAATGAATAAACAAATAATCTGATAAAAATTAAAAATAGTTTACCTTTTTAAAACAATTTGATATTCCAGATATAAAACCAGAAAATCTCTTAATCAGTCATAGTGACATCCTGAAGCTGTGTGATTTTGGTAAGTTGAAAAGAAATTAGATTATATTCTTTATTGGAATAGTAAGGTAAGTTCTTTTTCAAGATACATTAAAGTACCATTTATCAATTGGACCTGTTTAATTTGAGAAACTTACTGTCATGTGTTCTGTTGAGAAATGTAATATAATAGGAGATCCTGGCCTCTGTATTATGAAAAATAATCTGTTTTGTAGATTGATAGTGTTCAGTATTTTCTATGGTTATTTCTCAGAAGGCAAGTAAACTAATACATATGTAAACCCAGCACCTCATAATGCTAATAATGTATTTTCCCTGGGAACATGGTGACAGATTTTTTATTGCTGGTAAGAATTGTGATGGGAGGGGCAGCTAGGTGGTGTGGTAGATAGAGTACTAGCCCTGAAGTCAGGAGGACCTGAGTTCAAATGCGGACTCAGACCAAACAACTTCACACTTACTAGCCGTGTGACCCTGGGCAAGTCACTTAACCCCAATTACCCCTCTCCCCCCCAAAAAAGAAGAATTGTGATGGGACTGATTTTTGGAAAAGAAGTCATTTATATGTGTATATATTTTTGTATATGTGTGCAGGCCTAAGAGATTTTTTAAGTCGATTTTCATTTATTGCTTTGTCACATCTTCTAATTATTAGTTATATTACAGATAGAATGCTAAAAATAATCCACATGTGATTGGACAGATCCGTACTCACTAGGGTTTTATGTTTAATTTGTGCAACCATGCAAGGGAATACAATACTATTTATTGAATGATCCAGCTGAATAGAACATGATACTAGGTACTTTAAAAATTCAGATTAAAATTATTCAGTGAAGTATATCCAAAACTATAAATTGGAGTACTGGAGAAAAGAACTTCTTTTATAAGGTAGGAAGTTTGATGAGCCCATGTACTAAACAAGATAACCTTTAGTATAAACTTCATGATATTTTCATTTATATAAAAGTAGTCAAAAATGTAGTTTGTTCCCCATGCCTAAATGAATGCAAAACATCCTTAAACTAGTTGTTTGAATAGAGAAGTACTTAAGCAATGCATCTAATACTTTTGAAATGAGTATTAAAAGGATTGTCAATCTTGTCTGTAGGATCCCTGCTTTCACTTTATGCCACAACTAGGAGGAAAAATAAGTTATCACTTTAATTTAATAATATTTTACAAGTTATTAAGTATCCAGAAATTTTTTCCTGTGAGAAATTGTCTCATGGAAGTCTTTAGCTTACTGTTGCTCTGTTAGTAAGTATATTTAGAAAGAATAGTTTCATGTTTGATGTCTTTCAAATTAGCCAACTTTTTGGAGAACCTGTTGTATCCTGAGCATTGTACTCATAATAGTAATAATCATAGCTCACATTTGTTTGGCACTTTAGAGGTGACAAAAAGACTCCCCTCACAGCTACTCTGTGAACATAGGTAGTTTATGATATTATTATTATCATTTTACAAGCAAGTGAACAGATTCAGAGAAATTAAGGGACAGAGATATAGAGAAAATCTGATGTGTCTAGCTAAATCTCAAACATAGGTCTTCTAACTCCAAATTCAGTGTTCCTTGTATTATACCATACTTTTAGACAAGGTACTGTGATCAGTGTGAAAGAAATAAAAGGCTAAATGCAAGAAATGAAAGAATTTTCTCTTGAATTTTCCCTGCATGTACTTAGAATTTTAATTTTCAGAATCTGTAGATTCCTAGCTGCCTTCTGACCCACAGGTGTGATTATTGCCAACTGAATCCTATTGAGGCTTTATGTATATATATTATATATTATTTTCTGTGTGTGGATATTTGTGTGGGTTCATAATTTGCTTGAGCTCTAAGATTAGTGAAATTTCTAAAGAAAATTCAAATAGAAAACATGCTTATAGACTTTCTAATAATAGAAAAAAGTGTTCTGCTGGTCTAGCAATACTTTCTAAATAAAAGACCATTTTAAAATTAAAGCATTTCTTAAATCACGTGCAGAAATTTATTTTATGCCACACTGTATACCCAGTGTGCACATAATAAGCACTTGTTACGTACAATTAGCTTGTCTTCCTACAGTGCCCGTTCTCTCTTTTTATGTTGTCGCCCAAAAGGCTCTATACAGAGACAGAAATAAATCATTAGAATGTGATTTTTATTATTGTTGTTATTACCATTAATAATAGTAGCCTATATTTAAGTAGTATTTTAAGGTTTGAAAATAATCTTATTAACTGAAGTAAAGTTTTAAGAACTTCTTTCTACTTTTGAATTTTTCCATAAAACTTATTTTTATACACTGATTTTTACGTGTGTTCCAGTTTTCTATAATCTCTTAAAAAGGAATTGTCACTGAGTTGGTAAGCTTGCAGCAGCCAGGTAGTATACTGAATAGAATGGTGGAGCAGGAGTCAGGAAGAACTGAATTTAAGCCTTGCCTCAGACCCTTACTACTAGCTTTGTGACTCTAGGCAAGTCATTTAACTTTCCTTTGTCTCAGTTCCCTCCTCTGTAAAATGGGAATGGTAGTATTAGCACCTACTTCTCAGGGGTGTTTTGAGAATCAAATAAGATATTTTGTGTAGAAGAACATTTTGAAAATCTTAAAAGCACTTTGTAATTATTAGCTAGGATCATTATTGAATTAAATGAGTAATTATGTTATTCCACTCGGAGGTAATAGGTGTAGTATAACTGACTTAAGCAATGTCTACACAATAAGCCCAAAGCATGTTGAAATGTGGAACAGATTAAGGCAGAATTAGTGATTTTTGATCACTATGATGCCCTAAGTATTTGTCCTCAGTCACATTAAGACAACAAAATCATTTTGACTAGTTTTTTCTTCTGACATAGATTGAATTCTTCTGACACAGACCTGATTGAATGAGGCCTAGAACAGATTAAAAATCATAACAGTGTAAATGCTATTGAAATATCAGTGCTTTGTGGATAAAAACTGTTGATTGTCTAAATAATTATATTAACTTAATAAGTTTAAATATCAAATAGTTAAGCTTAAGCACCCAAGTTTCTGCAGATAATTGAGAGTCAAAGCTACTAAATCAAACAAAACATTTTTAGCATTTGAATTTTTTCACAAAATTTTACACTTGAAATGCAATCTCTGCTCCATCCACTCCAGACTTAACCAGAATATTTGATGCATTGACTTCATGTGGACAAAACTTTAAAATTAGAACTACTTCCAGTTATTTGATGCTTCGTATTATAAACTCAATTCTGTTGAGCTTATTTACCACATTTATTTGAAGATGTTTTAACTTTCTTCTCCTGTGGTAATTAATTATACATTATTGTAACTCAACGTGACAGTGCCAATCTCAGTTGGTGAATTTCCTCCTCTAGAGTTCCCTACTCCAGTGAAATCACAGGTTGTATAAAAATAACAATAACATTTTAGTCAAGTGCTAATAAATGACTATCTGAAGGACAAAATGATTTCATAAAAATCCTGATTTGACATTATGAGCACTAAGTGAATTCTGACTAAATAATGTAATGTTGTACATACAGTTTATGGTTGTTGATGTAAAGACAAATTAATTGAAAACTGTGATAAGTACGATTCAAACAAATTCTGATATTTCTTAAGGTTTCTGTCTCATAAAGTTCCCCTCCCTTTGTTCATACATTTAAATTTGTACTTTAAATGAATGTGAGCACCTTCTTTGAGTCCTTGTGTGGAAAAAACAGGATTTTCTTCTTCTTCATTATGTTTTTAAAAGTCTTTATTAAATCCTTTGGGTACATACTTAGCTTAAGTTCTTTTCTCTTTCTACCATTGATAAATCTTCACTTTATTAATATTGACATGCTAGTGAGGACAGTCTTCCTTATGGATTTAGACATACTGATAGATTTTGACTTAATTTCCATTGATTTTTGTTTGTCATGGTATGTTGATAGTAGAATAGCAGCTATCAAAAGTATATCAGCATTTCATTTTTATTTTCCATTATAATCTTTATTTGGAAATATTTTATATGTATATGTGTGTGTATGTATATATATATATAAAATACACACACACACACATATGTAATGTTTGACTTGCTCAAGCCCCTTTTACTCTTCAAATCTTTTCTTATTAGTTGAAACTCTGGCTATTGGTGACATAGCTTAGAATGATCACCTGAATTTATTTCAGCACTAAGGGCTTTTGATGCTTCATACACCTTTAAAGATCATTATAACCCTAATTGTGCTCTAACCCTAACCCTAATCCTAAGATCCTGTTTTTCCTCTGCTATACTCACATGGTCTTAAAATGGGAGTTTACTCTGTGATCCTTTTACATATTGGTATAAAGCAGATGGTACTCTGGTGATAACTATTTGCGAACAATAGGAAATTGAGTTGGGAAAGGACAGTGAGTATGTAAATGTTTAGTGAGTGCCAAAACTATAGCCTCTAAGAAGGAACTTTGTCTTGTTATAACTGCATTTGAATACAGTTAAGATTGCCCAAATAAAATTTAACATGGCTCAAAATATGTTGTTGGTATTTTATGTCTCTTTATCAAATATAAATATTTGGTAAAGAATGCTTATTTTAACAGGTAAATAACACAGAGTAGCTATGATCAGAATTACTTGTACCGTTATCAGTGATGAGGAAGAGACTGAATCCTAATCATTTTACATTCTACTTTAGACTCTCCAATTTTTAATTTCTTAACCTGGACCTCAGATTAAGAGCTTTAGAACCTGGCTTCACAGTGACTAGCCCAGGATGCCTGATTGTAGAATTGCTTTGCCCTACTTCTTGGTGACCTTTAATTTACATTACCCTCACCAGCGCCAGTCAGTTGACCCCTACAAAATACAGCACACATTCCTATTAAAAACCCTAGAGAGGGACAGCTAGGTGGCGCAGTGGATAGAGCACCAGCCCTGGAGTCAGGAGGACCTGAGTTCGAATCCGGCCTCAGACACTTGACATGTACTACCTATGTGACCCTGGGCAAGTCACTTAACCCCACTGCCAACAAAAACCAACCAAACAAA